ACTACGCTGGTGCCTAAAGAGCTCAAAAAAAAAACAACCGTATTCACAGGAGGTAGATCGCTTGAGCAGGCAAATCTACTGTTAAGCGATGACCATTTTGAGAGTCAACAACGCCATGGGCGTTTTACGCCAATGGCAAATAGAATACAAATATTTCAAAATAGGCGAATGAAAACAAAACTATATGAGGAAGCAAGAAAAACAGCTCAAAATGACCAATAAGATATATGAGTATACAATAAGCTAATGTCTCTACAAAACATTACACGACGCTGTTCGGCTTGGGAGGGTCGTGCTGCACGTTCATAGCTCCTTTTGCTAATTCATCTTAACTAGCTGATCTCTCAATGGTGAGACCGTGCCAGCTCCTGGGAAGGGTGCAAAATTGTACAAGAGCTGCTTTGGTTTCAAGGGTTTAGAGGCCTTCACCAGGTGCATGCTTCGCTGCCCCACCAAGCCGAACTGCGGCAAAAAAACATGAAATTAGTGATCTAATTCAGCTGACACAGGGGGCTCATGCAAGACCTGTCCTTGACCGTCCTCATCGCTGCTCCTCGACACTGCATACGCTCGCATCCAAATTTCTGAGTACGGTTCATCCTGCTCGACATGAACAATTGAGTGGGCAAGCAGATCTGCCAACAAATCGTCGGCTGCTATTCACTAACATTCTACCAAAACCTTTTGCGTAAGAGATGTAGACTTACATACTGAAGCAATGACGAGAACTACTTACTGAGCAATGAAGAAAATACTCCAACTGCACGTTTCCTGGACGTGGAGGTGTTTGGAATAATGGAGGATAATGGAATGTAGCCGCTTGCATTTGAGAGCGCTCTGAAATGGTAGCTGATATCGTCATCAATCGAGGGGTGGAAGGAGTCTATTTAAACTGAGCCCTAACAGTGGCTCCTTCAAGAAGAAAACAACCAGTGGTAGGAAACACCGTGGGTGAGCTCAATAAGTGTCTCCTGACACCGCTCCGACTGACGGCGAGGATAGCAAAGGTATTACTTATCAGGGTTAGAACTTTCCAATGGTAAGACCGACAACAACAAGACAACATTTATCCCATACTTCGTCTAATATACATTTTGACAAAGCGCCCTACGTTGTAGGCAGTAGCGCCGGTCTCAGACTTGCTACCACACAGGGCCGTTCAGCCCTTTTCGCTGCAGACGCTGGGGCGTGTCAGGGAGCGGGTTTAGCGCGGCGCTCCAACGTTTTCCACCAGTTGTTGTGCTTGCCAGCTTCAGGCGTTATATGTCTGATTGTAAACATTAGGAAGGAAATACAGTCCTTCTCGCTGTAGACGCTGGGAGGGGGGAGGGGGATCAGCAGGCAAGGTCTGGCGCGGCGCCAGCCGTTTTCCAACAAGTGTAGTCGCCTGCTCGCCTCAACACTGGAGAACGTGCTAGCGCCCATCCAAACTCACTGACACCCCCAACGCCTACAGCGAAGCGACTGTACCTCCTCCCCAAAGCTTATATCCAAGGATATTACACTCTGGTACGATTGGCAAATAGTAAGAAAACATGCTTACTCAAGAAGACAACGGCATTCTTCTCTCTGAAACTTCTCTTTAAGCGAATCCGGCAGCGAAATCCTTAAAAAAGAATGGGTCATTCATTTGGTTAACGATGTAGTTTCTCATCTCAAAACCTGCTGCACTAATCACAGACCTTCCGGAGCTGCTCGGGAATGATTGCCCGGAAGTATCGCCAGGTTTGAAAGGTTCCATAAGTTGTACTGATGATGGACGGCGATCTTGAATAAGACACAATATAATGTACAACGGTTTTAGCTAAAATAAACTTCGTGCAATGTCACATTCATACCGAATTCGTTGGTATCGATGGTCATACGTCGTTCTTCCTCCACGTAAGAACCGCGAGATTCCCTCACGCGAGCATTCTCTTGGAGAGAGACGTCGGCAGCCATTTGCAACGGTTCATTGGGCATCACGTCCTAGAAAGTCATCCCTACGAAACTGCAACCATACAAAGGGGAACTAAGAAAAGCTCACATTAACCCTCAACGAAAGTTCACTTTGTCGTTCATCAGAAACTGACGACTTGTACCTAAAAAGTGTGCATAACTGTATAAGACGTCTCCCGACTAAAGTTACAGTGCGTTCACACTTTGCGACAGCGTCTGAGCGTTTCCTTTGAGCGTCCGCCAGCGTTTCCAGCAATAATCGATACCTGCACTGTCTTTGTCGCTCATCACGCTCAAGACGCTGATGCTAGAAAGGCCGACGGACGCTCAAAATTTCGATCAATACCTATACTTCCCTAGCTGCTCAAAGCGCTGACAGACATTCAAAACGCTACCGCAAAATATGAACGCGGTCTTAGTCTCCGTACCAGTCTGGAGTTGCTTTGATGGATATTTTACTGGGTGTGAGCAGTCCTTCTCTTCCCTGCGATTCGTCTCGTTCCTGAATTCGAGTCTGACAAATATCAAGCTCTGATTGATACCAGTTGGAAAACAAGTCTATACCTCAACTGGCTGAGCGTCTTTCTCAGGCCTTTCTAGAAACCTGAAAATTGCTAGAAATACAAACTATAAGCGGAGTTACCAACCAATTTTTTGAGACAAACCTTCTGAGGTGTACCAGTCAAGAACGCAATCCCGGGAACTACATCGCTCGCTGAACTCTGAAACTTACATTTTTGAAGAAAATCAAAATTATCCCTCTCATTAATCCAGAAATGTCGTTGAAAATCACTCTTGCCTCGCTTGATGAAGACTCATCGTTACGATCGCGCCACAGTTTGGAGGCTGGTCCACGATCTGGTAATTCGTACAGATCTTCTGTTAATGCTTGCTGGTACGTCATTTTGTCGCAAACCATACTCTGATAAAGTTCGATGCATTCTTTAGGAAACCCTAAAGATTATTCAATTGCAAAACAGAACAGGATCACACCTGCGAATCCAGCAAAACCAAAAAATAAGAGCAAATTTCAGCAAGCAGGTCAAGACAATCGTAACTCGCCGCTCCGTCGCGTGCGGCCTTTCTCTCAATTGCATTAGCCTGTCGAATGGAGCAATGAATTTCATGTAAACTGCGACACCGAGACATTTATGGCTATATTCAGTTATAAATTGTCTGCTGTCGCCATTTATGACCCACAAACATCGTCATCGGCGAGCGCGATATCACGTGCGACGCCTACCTGCGCTACAAATTACGATTGCCTTGTCACATGCTCAAATTGCACGGAAAATGAAATGAAAATGTTGACAAGAATAGATCGATACTCACGCTTTCCTGCGTAAGCTGGGTAAGGCAGCAGTAATTCGTGCAGTGTGGGATATTTGTTAACCGTCATACCAGCACGAAGCTCTTCTTTGGTTTTGATAAGAGAAGAGTAATCAAGCATACGTTCCTTCATAGTTTCCTTAAATACAAGGAAAGTTTCAATCAAAATGGATTTCAGGCAGCGTCCAGACTCGCGTCGACGCGCTGCAATTGCAAGAGCGTTCCAATTTTTTAGACGCGGACGCAACCGCAGACGGGTATCTTTCGGCGCCGGTCGGTTGTTTTATGAGAGTACAGGATAACTTCAAGACAGCTGCTGCCTTCCACACTCTGGTAATCTCACGTTCTTCTATACTCTTCCGAAGCTCCATCGGCCACTGTCGATCGATACCAGACTGCTAACTAGGCAACGCGTATCCCAGCTCCCCATACTCTCTCAAGACCTGAGCGGTCCGAGCCGATCAATTCCTGCCTGCGGCTGCGTTCTGTCTAAAGTACCGAAGCGCTATTGGAAGTGTAGCGCGTCGACGCGCGTCATCGCGAAGTCTGAACGCTGTCATATGGGAAGAGAAGTCGGAAAACGGAAAGTGCCTCTGATCTTGGATCTCCGGACCGACATATTGTAAGATACTTACATACGAGATCACTGTGCTTTCAGTATCGAACAGTTGGAGATTTCTCCTTCTTCTAAAAACTCGCTCAGCATCCAAATCTTCTTTATTTATTGCGCTGAGCTCCAGTGAAGGATGAGAAGAGCCGTTGGCATCACTACTTTGTACAGCTGGTGCTTCGCGATGTTCTCCAGCAGTTTCGTTAGGTTGTACAGCTGGTGTACTTCACGATTTTCTTCGACATTATCATCCATCCTTGGCCTCTTGGCAGCTGGTTCTTGATTAGGTTCTTCCTTAACAACCACGGGCGGAGACTGGAACAAATCTCTGCGTATGCACTGAAGAAGCTATGGTTACACAAAGGCAAGCTGGAATACCTGACTCTTCTCATTTCCTCTCTGCTGTCCTGCTGTCAAATCCAGATAAGAGCCCGCCCTAAACTAGATTCCTGCAGTGACACGAAAAAGCTTGCAACGGGAGAATGGGAGAACCGACGATTCGACGTCTCAAGAGAAGGCTCCGAAGGAGCGGGTGGGTATCGAATGAGTCCAGCTGCCAGTGAAAAGCAGTACTGACGACTTGACGTTTTGGGCGAACGCGCCGTAATGCCTAAAACCCCACAACACGTTGAATCGTCGCTTCACCTACTTCGCTTACGGACAACTTGAACTTAATCCCTTTGAACGCGTCGATCTTCTCTTTTTCTCTGCACTCTCTCGTCCGCATGGCACTCTATGGCCGTTGTGACTTCGCTCACTCCAGCTTTTCACCGACTGTAAGTAGCTCACCCACCCGGAGTCCCCTCCCCTTGAAAATCCCGTTTCCTGGCTCGCCATACGTTTTTTGCACGTTTCGATGCTTTGGCAGCCGCTGCTCTCTGTCCGTCTGCGTCACAGGGTTTTCGCTGGCGACTGCAGTCAATCGATACCCACAGGCTCTTGCCAGCATTCTTTCCAACCGTTGGATCACCAATGCTCCTGTTCTCTTGTTCGGGGGAGCGCCGTCAGTTGCAGTTGCCAGACGTGAGAGACTAAAGGCTCGAATCGTGGAGTATATACGCATTTTTAAGAAACTCTTGCTAAGCATACTATTTCCATTATGAACTCAAACAGTTCCTAAAGAAACTGACTTCAGTGTGCGCAATATGAAAAGGAAGTACGCAGACGCCAAATCTTAAGGGGACCACTCACATGAAAGTTTCGCGGTCCACATTAGCAAAAGCTTCTGGTGGTGGAAGTGGTGGAAATTCATCAAGTATCACAGGTTCCACAGCCTGGCTCTAGAATTAAGTGTAGTTTCATAGTCAATAAGATATATAAGCTGAGTAGGGGACTGCACAATAACAGCCTTCGAGGACGTTCAAACCTGAGGATTTTCTTCCACTTTTTCAACTGATTCGGATGAGCTCCCTCTTGATCGCAAGTCATTCCAATTGATACTATAAACTCAAGTAGTAGCATGAAACAAGGAGCTAATGTTAAAGACAATAAAAAGCAACACGCACAATCCTTGCACACTTAAATCAACAGGCTGCCGATTCTCCTCATCAAAGAAAACATCTTGACGATGCCAAATTAAAGGTTCAGCCTCGACCATTGTGATATCGCAAGGGCGAGCACGAGGCACCATTCGAGTATTCTGGAACAGAAATTGACAAAATTATACTCACTGGAGTACTATTTCAAGTTAACTACGTTAACTCACTGGTTCTTCATCAATGTCAATATCTGGGTTATGTTCGCGAATTACTTTTTTGCCATCGCGTTGACGCTTTTTCGCTTTGCCACTAAAAAGAACAAAATCAGTCGACTACCGACCTTATTACGTTATCAAGGGAGACATCGTGTGTAGGCAGCTGGCGTTGCACCGACGCAGCGAAGACATACTGTAAATTCGCAACAAAACAAACACTACATATCCTGGAGATGGAGTGGGTGTGGCTAATTGCCCCTTTCAAACGTACTGGCGGCTGCGTTCCCAATGAGATATTGCCTTTTTGAAACAACTGAATAGCACCAGGATGGCGGCGGCCTCGAACGGAAATATCCCTCGGAAAAAAATCGTCCACCATGTTTGAATAAGTTACGCAGCCACGCCCTCCCCAGGATGTGGAATGAGTGCCCTTTCCATGTTCAAAAAGAGCAGGTGCAGCGGTTGAAGTGATCAACTTTCGACATTGTTACTGTTAGTGCACCAAGCGAAAATGATAGAAATGACTCTAGAAGGTTTTGGCATCTTGATAGTCCTTATGTCTTCGCCTCATCCTATTCAATACGCGGCGAGGATGCTACACGTTGCTGGGATGCTCTCAATACGGCGACCAGGTCCAAAGTCGAGCTGTAAGGGCACCCCAACCATGAGTGATGCGGCCCAGTAAGAAGCACGTATGGTTATAGTTAGGCGAATAGCTGGCCGTGTGTCGTATCGCATGCCTGCTGCTTTTCACGTATCGAGTGGCGGGCGGAGGCAAAAGGTCCAACTACGCAATGCCCGAGCTTCCTTACAAAGTGAAAGTAATGGTTGCAATGATCACGCGTTTCTAGCTTCTTTATCTCGCAGTTTCGTGTGACGCAAGTGGTATATCCTTTGCGAATGCGAACAATGATGCTAAATGCACAGAGGCAGCGGACCCTTGATCGCGGAATTGTCTTCAAGTTCTGCACCTACAGGACGCAAGTAATCGTATACTGGACCTTTGAATCAGTACACAGTATGGTCCTTTACTTGGACCTTTTACAAAGGCCTAACTTTTGAAGTACAGAAACGGGGGCAAAGGCGATAAAGCAGTTTTGTAAAGGAAAAGGCGCTTTTTTTGTTTGTTATATCACCAAGACAATCGCACCTTGCTGACAAGTCACACTCAAGAAGCTCCTCCATTGGTAACCGCATGCACCCTTTATATGTAGAACGAGCATCTCCTGCAATGAGAACCATCAGGTTTGCGACTGAGAAAGGAACTTTGGAAAAAGGGCACCAATAGTTGAGGGGGAGGGGTAGGACAAACGACTACGCCTCCGTATCCACCCCTCCAAAGGCTTAGGCTCAGGACAGAGTTGACTATGGTTGTCGAATAATAGTCTCGCAGAGAGACATAGTCTTCACTGAGCCTAAGCGTTCATAAGGAGAAGGGATACGGTAGCTCTGGTAAGCTGGAGTTCCCCCCCCCAACTACCTTAGTGCCAAAAAAAACTTGATAAAATCATGTCATACTTTCGAATAACGTGACTTGTCGATCGTATATGAGTACCGTTCCGTACATAAGTTGTCCAAGTAAGTATAGCGAGAACTTCGATGTTAGATCACCTTTACCACTTTTCTCAGTTGGCGCAAATTTCAGAAGTTCACGACTGGAAAACTATCTTAAAAATTCATAGTCCAACTGTTGAAAGCCTAGAAAACAATAAGGGAGACCTAGTCGGTCATTTAGTTAGTTGCGTAGGAGGTGGGAGACAACTTGTACTTCCCAGAGAAGGATTAGGCTCAGAGCGCAGACGGCCAGAGTCGCCGAGAGATCGTCCCGGGCAAGAGGTTGCCCTAGAGTGCTCTGCATAACCAAAATGGTAGGAAATATGATTCGCTTCTTCTCTTCGAACAGACCTTCACAGGGATGTGCTCCGCATGCTACTTCCATTCAGAATAGTAGTGGCCTTTGAAGGTGACTAGGTCTACGCAATGACTTGCATGGATGGGTCGATGTTCAGTTTTCAGCCTCCCAGATGAGTGCGCTACCAATTCGCTGGTCCCGGAGGCATGGAAGAGATGGTTAGGCCAGTCAAGGCGGGAATGGATTGTGAATTGACCTCCAGAAAGCGTTCGCGCTGAACAGCGTTACTTCTCACTCTACTAACTCCACCCGTCTGCGTACTATGGTTCTTGCATAAGTTTTTTCTCCCCCTGTTTTGATCCTTCCGTATTTCGTTTGCATGGAGGTTGGTATTTCGTCATCACGTGACGTGTACATGATACTCTTTCACCACACTAGCTATCACTCACCCACCCTGCATTTGCAGGCTACAATGCCGCACAATTACCAAAACCATGTCACAGTGGTGATTGTGCGGCATTGTGGCCTTCTTCGGGTCCCAGCCCCCGTCCTTCTGGGACGATGGAATCGACAAGCTGCCTGAGCGTTGGCGTCGAGTAGTGGATGGTGATGGTGCATACCTCTAATCTTCAGGCTGGTTCGCTATTGAGATATTTACAAAAAGTCGGGGGAAAGAACTTATGCAACAACCTAATATGACCGCTATATTATCAAAAAAGTTAGAACAATATGAGTAAAGACAGAGCACAGAGCCGCGACTAATCGAAAGTAAAGCTCTTTTTGCACGATGTGTCGAGCGCGTCGTAATTGCGAAGGATGTCGCACCTTCGCAAATTCAAAATGCTCCATAAGAACGTCGTGGCTTTACAACGATATGCAGTCTCCACCTCTTCGCAACCGTGCTCCCCTTTATCAACATTTTTGTCTTCACTTTTATTTTTTACCACAGCGGTGGATTCTTCAACATTTATGGGTTTTGTTACTCTTTTCCACGCTCAGAATCTTCTCACCATACTTTATAATGCCTAAACTTCGTTTTCCCCACTCCTGATTCTCCGTCTGTACATTCTCCTGAACCCCAAAACGACGATGCAAACTTATGGACCACAAAATTTAATTAATTTATGGATCATAAAACTAAAGATACCAACCATAAGTTGGGGATCGAAACATCCACAATGGCTCGCTTGTCCAATCTCTTTGCTGTGCCAGAAGTAGCGGCTCTCCTAGAAATGAAGAGTCACTCATAATGCACTAGTCGCTGAATCCACCCCAAGGATCCGTGTGTCCCGCAGCGAAACAACTATCATCCTTGAACATTGATCGATTCCACGACGTTCGGATCTCCAGCGCTACTCGTTCGATTGAAGGAAAGCATGGTTATAACAGTCCAGGGTGCCTAGCCATAAAAATGTCACGCGCCAATTTTTTTGTTGGCATAGGGCCGCGCCCGAATTGAAACCTCGGGCTTTATGCATTATATTCCCGAAGTAGATTTAAATACATGTCTAGAACTGGAGCGACACCATGTCAAGCCCATTAACCTTACTCTTGAGAACTTACCATACCAGACTGAATTTGGCCTCACGACCGATGAGAAGTTGTACAGAGAAGAACATCTGAAAAGAAAGGGAGTAAGCTACCAATGAAAAAAAAACGAGAAATTGAGAAAAAAGTGAGGAGGAAGAAAAGTAAAAGCAGGACAGCAACCATCAGGTGAAGCTCACTCACCGGGTGAGGTGAAGCTTGGTGGTGAAGACGGCGTCAGCCATTCTTGTCAAAACTTGAGGTCTCGAACGGAATACAAATCGTGTCAGGACCATCCGCCACCCAGCTGTGCCACTGGGTGGGGCACTCAAAATGAGACTCACAAAGTGATTTCATGCAGGAGAGAAGTTCTGAAATAGTGTTGAATTCCGTTCTATAGTTTCATAACTCCATTTAGGGTCAGGGTAACTAATGGGGCAGCGGGAAAAGGGGGGCGACGCCTGTCTCTGCGCTCTCTCACCGAGACAGTGTCCATGCGTTCCCGAGGGTGTTTTGGCCCTTTCACATAGATTTCCTATGCGGAACACGAATATAGATTGTCAAATTGTAAAACTCTGATCTAAATGAAGAATTCTTATCAACGCCTAATCCTTTTGTTATCATGGTCATCACGTTGGAGATACTGCGAAACTGAAGAAAGCAGAATCGCAGCCAGAACTAATTTTTGTAATGTTTCCTGTGGGATTCCTGCTTTTCGCTTGTCCTGTAGCTTTACCGGGTATGTAGCAAGACAACCATTTGAGGCTGCGTTCATACTTTGCGGCAGCATCCTCCAGCGACCACTGGCGTTTCGAGCGTCCAGCAGCGTCGGCGAGTAGGAAAGTATGGATATCGATCCGGCGTCCGCCAGCGGCTGCCACCATCTGCCAGCGTCCAACAGCATCTCGGGGGCTAAGGAAGTACAGGTAGCGATCTAGCGTCTGCAAGCGTCCGCCGGCGTCTACCATCGTTCACCAGCGACTGAAAATAGAGAGTGTGGGGAAGTAGGAGGGTAGCACAAAGCTGGGATTAGGCGTCATGAAATTGCTATATGTGCAACCGTACCGTACAATTGCTAAAGCACAGAATTATGCAATTTAGTGTACGGTGTAGTGTAGATGTACGGTACGTTTGCACACACCGCAGTCTAATCCACCTGTTTGCTACCCTCCTACTTCCTCATACTCCCTCTCTGATCGCTGCTGAACGCTAGTGTACGCTGGTAGACGCTGCCGCAAGGTATAAACGCGGCCTTAGTGGACATTGCATGCGACGTCGCCCCGCGGACCGGCCATGTTTCCAGGTTGGAGGTGGAGAAAGTAAACATTGTAAAGCCAAAAGTAGCTAAAAGTCCACGATCTTTGCGCGTCCTGGAAAAATGTCCGGTACCCGCCATGCGGCGTCATATCGCCGCGGCGAAAGCGGGAAAAGCAGCAGTGCGCCAGGAGTATGTGCCAAGGCAGCCGTAAATCGCCGCGCTAATGGGCGTCGTTGCGACGTTGCGCCTTCAAGTTACGATGTTTTTTCGGTCCGTAGACGGTTGTCGGCACCTATGCGCCGCGCGCGACGCGGCGGCAATTACGGTTGTTTTTGACCGCACCCTGAGTGCGGCCTTGTTTTTTGAATGCACATCCACCTCATGTAATTTGCTAGTGCATTATCAGACCCATTGATGGACGCCCAAATATGGACCATTTAGGGATTTCTTTGACAGGCACGAGCGAGCAGTTGGAGAAAAATTCTCAAATGTACGTTTTTAGGGTAAGCAAGGTTGACTTGGACCTTTTGAGCTGGCATCTTAACACATGACGACAACGCGGGTTTTTACTTTTCGGCCTCGTGGGACACGCGCGCTTTCTTGAACGCCACAAGCGCGGTACGCATACAATTCAAGCCGTCCCACGAAGCGCTTTTTGGAGATTGGATCGAAAAACCTGGTTCAGAGAGCGATTGTGAAGTAAGTCAATTATTTACTATGGAAAAATCTGGGCTGGCCAACTCTCTTTGCACCAGGGCCCGGAATTTGTCTAGAACCAATTTTTTCATAAAAAACGCAAATCGTGCTTTCTATAGGATTCAGAATCCTTCACCTTATATTTTTTCATCATTATCAATGTTGTAATTGTCTGTATTTGTTGGCAAAGAGTTAAACAGCAAACCAATCCAAAGTGAGGAGCAAACCAATTTAAGCTTATAGTGCTCTTTCCACAGGAAATCTTTGCTAAACTAGTGTGTACTAACTTATTCCATGTACCACGTGTTGTACGAGTATACTAAGGACCTATAGAATGAATAGGAGAAACTAAACAAAAAATCATGCACTAGTGAAAGATATGGATTTGTTGATCGTGATTCGTATTCAATGCACGCGGTCCCACGTGGCCTACAAAGCGTGCATTAAATGCGTATCATGCGCTGTCGTCAATCATTTGTTTAAGAAAGCAACTGATTTCGATATTGACCCATGCTCATTCCATCTTTGAAAGCCAAGTTGTTGAAACAGCCCGCTGCTGTAGCTTTACTTTCCTTAAGGTCGAAAGTGCACGAAACGGGGCTAGAGTATCCTACTATATATAAACGGCAACGTCTGTCTGTCTGTTTGTCTGTTTGTCTGTTTGTCTGTCTGTCTGTCTGTCCGGAAATTCGGAATCACCTGAAGAGCCAGCTAGAAGGGACGGGTCAAGGGTGGGTTGGGTAGGGCATGGGCCAAGATGTACGGAACACACGTGAACCGAGCTAAGCCCCGCCCACTGTGGGCGGGGCGTGCGCACAGTTGTGAGCTACATATTCAAAAATTCGTAGTCCGGTTCTAGAAGATCCCGGAGAGCGGAAATTGTGGGTAAGGATAAGCAGTCAGTTGGCGGATGAAATGAGGCAGTCACACCCGTGATGGACGGGCGTGCTATAGGTGGGCGGTGCTCGCTACAGAACTTTCAAAAATTCGTAGTTCGGTTCTAGAAGATCCCGGAGAGCGGAAATTGTGGGAAACGATAAGCAGTCAGTTGGCGGATGAAATGAGGGAGTCACACCCGTGATGGACGGGGCGTGCTATAGGTGGGCGGTGCTCGCTACAGAACTTTCAAAAATTCGTAGTTCGGTTCTAGAAGATCCCGGAGAGCGGAAATTGTGGGAAACGATAAGCAGTCAGTTGGCGGATGAAATGAGGGAGTCACACCCGTGATGGGCGAGGCGTGCTATAGGTGGGCGGTGCTCGCTACAGAACTTTCAAAAATTCGTAATTCGGTTCCAGAAGATCCCGGAGAGCGGAAATTGTGGGAAACGATCAGGCCAAAACAGTTGGCGGACGGAATGAATGAAGCACACCCACGATGGGCAGGGTGTGCGCCGAAGTGAACGGTGCCGGGGATAAAAACCCTCAAAATACATCTGAAAAACTCAGGAAATGGGGAGTAAGTGAAAATGAGCAATGAAAATGAGCAATGGTTGGGCAGATGATGTTAGTAAGGGATAACCGTAGGGAGTATACCAAGTGGTTGGTGCCGTTTATTCTGTGGTTCCTCGTCACTGACTGCAGCGCTGTATAGAAAAATTTTGCTCACTGTCTGCTAGGGGGGGATATATACTAGCAGTGAAACGGCAAAGTGCGGTAATTCTCAAAACAATTTTTTTTCGACCATTCGACCGGCGAAGCACCG